GAGCTGTGGCAGGGCTCCAGTTGGGAGGAGCAGCAACCATTGTGGGCCGGGACGACGGGCGTTGGCAGAGGGCTGCTGGGAATCTCCTGCAGAACCTGCCTTTGCTCGTGTCAGGGCTATTGGTCCTGCCTCACATTCACGGACAAAATCCAAGTGAGCCAGCTCACACAGGGGCAAACCCGGACAGGTTTTTTCATTGGAGGTTGGCCTGACGAGCTGGTCTGACACATCCCCTCTCTGTCTCCTCAGCTCTTCGGGTGGCTGCTCATTGGGGTTGTGGCGGTCTTGGTGTTTATCACCAAGTGCCTGAAGCATTGCTGCTCACCCCTGAGCTACCGGCAAGAGGGCTACTGGGCCCAGTACCGCTCCAGCGAGTATAAGCTCTTCCAGCGCACCGCTGAGGTCCACTCCAAGATCCTAGCTGCCAACAACGTCAAGCAGTTCTTCGGCTTCGTGGCTCTGGAGAAGGAGGAGAAGGAGCTGGTGGAGGAGTTCTCTGTGGAGGGCGTCCAGCCAAGCCCGCAGTGGAACGCCATCACTGGGGTCTATCTCTACCGGGAAAACAACGGCTTCCCACTCTACAGCCGGCTCCATAAGTGGGCCAAAGGGGTGGAGGGGAACGGGCCAGGGCCTGATGGTCAAGAAATGGTCTTCCTGGCCACCTAAGAGAACCAGCAGCCAGGGGATGACGGGACCGGTTCTCCTCACCATCTTTGCTTCACTAGATGCTCAGATAGGTACAAACATGTGCATGGCTAGTCGATTTGCTGCTAATTAGCCTCCTTGGCCCAGCAAGGGAGGAAAGAGGAACAGCTTCGAGATAAAGATCAGTTGCATCGTGCCAGGAACCCGTCTCTGACACACAGCAGTGCACTGTTGCTCCTACACGGAGGACATGCCACCTGAAGCAGGTATGTGCACCTGTCTCCAGACTATCAGTGCTACAGCTTTGTTGTTACGCACAGACCCAGCCCCCGGGTCCTGCACGCACAAAGACGTGTTCAAGGTGGGAAACCAGACCTAATACTCTGCCAGTGTTCCCCATCGCAGCTACAAGTGCTACAGCCTCTTTGCTCTCTCATTTCACCCAGCACACCTGCCTAGTTGATGCTTAAGACTTTATCTTGGAGTTCTGTTGCACCAAGAAATTCCCAGAGCACTTGATGGGCAGTTGCCTCTGGGGAGGAACACAATAGTAGTCCCATCAATGCACAGAAAAACTCCAGAATTTAAGAGTTTGTCTACACAAGGGGAAGGAAAGGAGGAGGTGGTGTTCACGAACTTGGATTTGTACACATTGAACTGACCTGCGTTCACACAACACAAACCCTGAAAGCACAGTAGCTGCACAGTACAAGTATATACCAAGTTCCCTGGGCACCGAGTGAATACAAATCCATGTTCGTGCACACACGTTGCTCATTCAGTTTTGGAAGCCTTCTAATTGCCATCCCATACTGCTTTGCATGTCACCAGATGTGACCTATTGGCTTACCTGTATATCCTCCCCCTCCACTTCTCTGGGGTCAAGTTGACTTGATGCCAGCAACAGGATGCTGGCATTGCATAGGGATCGTTAATGAAGTGGAATCCAATAATCGAGATGGAAACTGGCTAGGACCCCAAACATCTTGTGTCATGAACACAAAAGTTCAACTTGGTTTTATGCATCTAGAAGACAGCTCCGTCAGCATGCCAGCATCCTGCTGAGCTGGCTTGGGTCAAGCCGAGTCATCAAAACCACTTCGGCAGCTCCTTGGGCTTCTCCTCCACGGACTGACCCATTCCTCCCTGGCTTAGGTTCTGAGAGCTCATAGTCGGACTTAGTTGCCATACACACACTTTGCATTTAGATGGAGCCAGTCTCAGAGGGATGGCCCTGTTAGTCTGTAACTTTGAAAGCAACAAGCAGTCCTGTGGCACCACAGAGATGAACAAATATATCATGAGCTTTCGTGAGTAAAACCCACTTCATCAGATGTAATGGGAGTGGAAATTACAGAACCACAAAGTACTCTGTATTCTTTAATTTCCACTCCCACTACATCTGATAAGGGGGTTTTACCCACGAAAGCTCATGATACAATATATTAGTTGTATCAATTAAGTATCTCTCTCTTACTGGAAGGGGTCCAGAAACCAGCCAGTCAAAAGCCCACGAAAGCTCATGATCCAATATATTAGTTGTATCAATTAAGCATCTCTCTCTTACTGGAAGGAGACCAGAAACCAGCCAGTCAAACAACTGCATTAGGACCACCTGTCTTGTGCCTGTAAAGACTCAGGTTTGCAGTGACTGGAATTGGAGGAATTCAGCCATGGGAAGCGGTGACCACTCCTTCCCTCTTTTGTTGGACTTTTAAAGCTAGTTCCGCTGCCTTAAGATGGTTCCTGGACGAGATCCTTGCTGATTCTCTCTCTCAAGAACTAAGTTCTACTCTGAGAAACAGACACAGGGGAGGCTGAAATATACCACTGTCATTGCACTGCTGTGTTGACCACTGGCCGAGGACCGGGTTTGCATTTATAGCCATTGCACAATTCTCCTGTCTATAATTGCATGTTGAATTAGATACGCACAAGTGTCTATTTCAATGGGTGGCAGCACATTTTCCTATTTATAATGCTCCTTCAGATGGGCTCCTTGTTTTTAATGCACCTTTGCTGTGCCTTTCACGGTAGTCAACCCCCAAGTGTACAAACCCTAGGAATCAGCCCTTCACACTTGTGCAACTGGATTAAAAATGAGTTTTTTCAGGGTTTTTTCCCCCTTTTAAAAATGAGTTTTTTCAGGGTTTTTTTTCCTCTTTGCTTTCTGGTTCCTGAACATTTTGGGGGCACTTAGGTCACATTTTCAAGCTTTTCTTTGAACAGGCGGGCTAGAAATTTACTCCTCGCATGAGGGTTGGTGACGCTGCTTTCAGAATCCCTGTTGCACTGATGTGGGTGCAGGTTTCACGGAGAATCGATGCAGTGGGAGGAGGGAGGACCGGACCCTGCTCTGTCACTGTGCTCTCTTGTAAGTAAGAGAACAGGAGCATGGCCAGCAATTAGAAACATGAACTCAGACTGCTTGCTAGACATCATAGGCCGGCAGGAAGCGAAGAAACTGCAGCCCCTTCACTGAAACGTCTGAGCAGGGTTTTCTTAATTCTCCTTCTCCTTTCGGGTGCAGTCTATGCAGCCCTCCTTGGAAAGCTACAACAGACCAGGATCTTATAAAAGTGTGACAAATAGCGAGAGGTCGGGGTTCAGCGTATCGCGTGACTGCTAGTCATGCCCATCAGCTGAGTCAGGAACTCAGGCTGCAGCAAGCAAGAGCAGCACCACTCTTGTGGCTTCTAGCCATGGGCTTTGCTGGTTATCCACTAGGACCTTCCACATGGCTTTTGTCCTGCCGGAGGAAGCCCAAAGCTGAGCTGGGAACAGCTTGCCCCCTCCTCTCAAAGCAGGCACTGTAGCCAACTCATTTCCACTGCCTCCCTGGCTGGAATGAGCAGATTTGCTTTAAAGAGCACAAATCGATCTTGGATTCAGCTAACGACAGCCCCCACCCTTCTCAGTAAAGGTGAAACAGAAGCGTCACAAAGTTTGCTTGCACTGATTTACTGCATAACGTTTAGAAGGGGCCATAACCCCGCCCTTCAGCTCAACCCCCACTGAGCCAGAGACGACAGCTCTCAACCTGAGCGGATGTTGAGCACTGGCCGCTTCCCATGCTCACTGCTCCTCTAGATGCAAAAGAAGGGATGAAAGGTGGGCAGAAGGCAGCTAAGAACAGAAGGGCCACACTGGGTCAGACCAATGGTCCACTTACCCCAGTGTCCTGTCTGCCGACAAGGACCAGCACCAGATGCTTCAGAAGGGCAATTATCGAGTGATGCATCGGGTCGTCCAGTCCCAGCTTGGGCAGTCAGAGGTTTAGGGATTCCCAGGACACGTGGTCACAATCCTGACCATCTCGGCTAATAGCCATGAACTCACCTAAGTCTTTTCTGAACCCACTTGGCCTTCACAAGTTCCACAGGGGAAGGGGGTGTTGACTGAAGTGGCACTTCCTTATGGTTGTTTTAAGACGGCTGCCTATTAATTTCACTATGGCTTCGTCTACACTGCCGGCTTTGCCGGCAGAGCCTATGCAAATGAAGCACAAATTAGCATACTGCACTTCATTTGCATAATTTATGCAAGCCTCTTTTTTTGCTCAAACCGGCTTGCATAGATTAGCATATCACTGCTTCATTTGCATAGGCTCTGCCGGCAAAGCCAGCAGTGTAGTCGAAGCCTGTGTGACCGCTGGTTCTTGTGAAGAGGTAAACACTTCCTTATTCCCCTTCGCCGCGCCACCCATGATTATACAGTAATTCCTCATTTAACACGTGCCCGCTTAACACGTTTTCGCGATAGCATGCTTTTTTTTTTTAGGGAACATTTTTTGAATTACATGACCGTCCCCAGAATAACACGATTTCCCCAGCCAGCCCGGTGCCGGCGGC